CATATATTTTACAAAGTTTAAATATTAGTTATTTAATTTTTAAAACATAGCTACCAAAACAAAATTTCACTAACCAATATATTCTCTTAAATAAATAAAATAATATTAATTTTATTTAAAATAATTATTATTATTATTTTATAAAATAGATCAATATAAATCTATCACTTACCTAACATAAGTCTATAGAGGTCATTACCTAACCTAAGTCTATATAGGTCATGAACTAACTAAGTCAAACTAAAATAAACTTGATTTAATTTAAGTTATAATTTTTTTTTATAGCTTGACCTATTTCTCAAGTTTTTCATATTGATATATTGAATAAAACTTATTTTGAAACTCCTAATATATAATATTATTTTTAAACATTTTATCAATATTTATCATTCACTTTTGTTTTATTATTATTTTCACATTATAATTTTACATTTTCCCTTTAGTTTTATTTAGCATTTTGAATATATAACTTTTCATATATTTAATTTATAATCAATAAAAAAAATAAAAAACAAAAAAAAATAAATACTTAGTTAATATGTCCAATTTTATTTGAATATTTCAAAAAAATTAATAATAAACTAATAGTTAATAAAAGAAAAAATAAAATAAAAATAATAAATAAAAGGAAAATAAACAAGAAATAAAAAAATATAAGAAGAGAGGGATTAAAAACTACATATAAATATTTCTGATATTTATTTTGGTTAAGAATAATAAGTTTGATTGTTGTTTTAAAAGATGTGAAAAGAAATTGGAGAAGCAGCAGCTGGCAATATAAAAAAAGTAGGTTGAACGGTGGCATACATTGGACCCACCAAATTATATGATTAAAACGCTTACATTTCTTGTCGCTTTCCATCCTCTTTCCACCCAGTAAATGTTTTAGTAATTTTTTTAATATTTTTTATCAATAAAAATTAATTAAAATTAAATAATTTATTAAAAATTAAATAATTAAATAGTTGATAATAAATAATAGTATTTAATTTATAAATAGTTAATTTGTCTAGACTTAATTTTTTTAATAAATTCATTCTTCCTACTTATTTGATTTATTTATAGATAAAAGTTATAATTAAAATTAAATATTTTTTTTAAAATAACTTATAAGATCAAATTATTTCAAAAAGTTGTATAAAATTAATTAATTAATTAATAAAATAGTTTATAAGTACGTAACAATATTTAATTTATTTGGTTAAATTACTTTTTCTTCTTTCCTTATACAAATTTAGTCTCCGTATATTTTTATTCACAAAATTTGTAACTATAAAAGTTGTAATTTTATAAAATACTTATCATGTTATTTAAGAAAAATTCCATCGGTTACTTACATTAAAATTTATAATTTTAATCTTTTAAATTTAATAATTATTTTAAAAATTTAAAATTTATATAATATTAATTTTACATCTTATCTTTTCATATTTTTTTAATACTTTTATATTTATTTATAATTTATTAATAATATATTATTTGATTTCATCAATATCAATAATTAATATCAATCACTAAAATAAATATTAATAACAATCATTCTTTAAACAAATATTCATTCAAAAAGTTTTTTTATTAATATAATATTAATAAAATTTAAATATTTATTATTATTATTATTATTATATTATTATTATTATTATTATTATTATATTATTATTATTATTATTATTATTATTATTAAATAAAGTTTTAGGAAATTTTTTAAAGGAATGAGTTGTATATATATCATAAAATCTAAAAAAATATTTCAAAATACTTAGTTCTCTTCAAATACCTAAACCATTATCCAAAGTTTGACACAATGCTTTTATAAGGAGTAGTACAAATATAGGTCCTACAGCTTAATATTATCTTATTTAACGAGTTAAAATTTAATATTTATATTAATTTTACTTTTAATTATATAAATAAAATATATCAGTTGTTTTGTTTAGTATATAAAAATAAAAATTTAATTAAATAACCTTTTTATAATGTATGTTAATTATATAACAATAAATATTAAAAACAAAGTATTATGTATATATTACTAAGATGTAAATGACTTACGATTATTATCTAAGTTTGATTTGAAAACATTAGGTTTCAGTAGAGAAGTTGAGGATTATTAATTTAAATTTTATTAAATAAATAATTTTGTATTTAAGAAAAACTTTAAATAATTTACTAAGAGATGAATATATATATATATATATATATATATATATATATATATATATATATATTATCATATTCACACGTCTGAAGGCTATAAAAAAATGTGAAAAAGAGTTTGAAATTAATAATTATTGTTATAATGAGCAGATATATATACCATGATTTTGTTAAAATTATTATTATGTATATGAATTTTTTTATTTTATCGTGTAATCATATATTTAGACTTGTAAATTATTACCTTATAATAGATTTATGTGTAATTGAGAAGGTATACTACTTGAAAATAAATTGTTTTGATTACAGTCTTAAGCCACTGAGTCTCAGTTACTTGATAGAAAAATGTAGCTCCTTTTGTCATAGGATCCACACTCCCATTAATTAGATGGAACAAAAACCAGTTTGGGGTATTAGGGACATGTTATTTTAATACACCTAAAACTTGTTGTCTATAGCCAAAAACACTTAATTAATAAGCATGTAACTGAGCAAGTCCTACCCTGGATACTTTTGGACTAGTTAAGACCTCTGCTTTCACGTGTTAGAGATCAAACAAATTGTTTTATTTTTATATGTACATATAAAAGTAAGATTCATAGACATATAATTTTATTTTTTTCATATCTTGCACCCCATTTCCCTTACACTCACTTTCTATGCAACATGGGTGACGATAGATTCACATTAATAAAACTTAGGGTACGTGACATGGGGCAAGAGCCTAACTTTTACTCCATCAACATTGATTGATGTCGTGTTTATATGCATCACCATGTGTCCTAAATCCTACCAAGAATGCCATCGAAAAAGTTGTCATTTTTGTTACTTTTCAGTTTCGAGCTTCTACATTCATGGGATGAGATAGAAGAATAAGTAAGGTAACACGCAGGTCTAGCCCTATGGAGTTTATCTACCAATCTGGTTAACATGTGGTCCACATCACAGATTTTGGCATTTCCTTCGTGCCTAAAACTGAACAAATTCGGCTTAGATAAAGGACCACAACAGAGAGGTCACTTTTCAAGAGTTTGTTTGCTTTCGTGGTTGTAATTTTTTGCCTTAAACAATATCAGTTAATGGTTTGCTAGCCTAAAAAATCCTTGTCGGTGGATCAAAATAAATAGTTTCACGCAGAAACTATATCAACTGTCATTAAAACAACTGCCAAGGTAGATCCATTCGAAACACAACCTGCAGGATCCACGTCTGGCAATAATTTTTGCAGAAGGTATTAGTTGAGGACTTGTGGTGGTGACAACGAAAAACCGCATGAGAAAGAAGGTTCTAGTAGCACTGGTGCATGGTGGGTCATGTACCTAGTTGGAATTGGTTCGTTTAATAATTAGAATTCAACCACAAACATGTTCTCCCTCGCGTCTGGTGGCACACGTACCAGTCAACAAGACACCAATTACACGCACATCAATATCACTTCAACATATAAAGATTAATGATGCTAAACTCACTTACTCATATACATCACATAACATAAATATACAACCATAGAGAGTAGGTTCGACTCACTCAACGTTGTCTACTTCATTAAGTCTCATAGAAGATGGAAAAGTCAAAAGACAAGAAAATAGTTTCTCATTTGATGTCCCTAATCTCAAAATGGAATGAGAGATGCAACCACCATGAGGCAAATAATAAAGGATCCAGCCGAAATAGGGACGAATGCTGATGCAGCGTTCCCGGGTGTTGATGATGGAGCTCCACCTGGAGACCCATTTGCAGCAGCAGATGCTCCACCTGCAAGAAAATTTGTAATGGTTCAACTCAGAAACACCAATCATGTCAGAACTTGAGAACCTAACAACGCAGATCAAAAAGCCTTCAGGATCTTTCACACGACACAATAAATTATGAATGCACGGGTAGCATATCTGGGATAAAAACGAACAAACATGCTTAATTGACACGCAGAAGATACAGCACAGATACCAGCTTTTGATTTTCCTTCGACCTTGATCCATACATTTCCTTAATAATAATAAACATGAATAAATCCAGTATTCTCCCAACCAAATCAAACGAGTATTTGTCATAAAAATATACTTATGGAATGCCTACAATCAAGTTAAATAATTGATGATGTTTGATTAATTTTAAAAACTCTCCACAAAAGCAATATCCAGATGATTAAATGCCGGGAGAGAAAAATAAATAAAAAATAAAACATAAAACCAGAAAACTAAGATGGTACATGCATAAAGTATTAAGATTTAAACGAGAACAACTATAATGTCTAAGCATACCAGAAGCAGGAGCAGGAGCAGGATCAGGCGAAAGAGACACTGCAAAACAAGAAAAAAGCTCATTACCGACATAAATCCAGAAAGGATAGATATCATCTTCGACAGATCGTAAAAAAGAAAACTTTGAATGCAAATACTCTGGCATAGGTGAGAAAGAGCAATGAACGTAAGAAAAAGGTAAATGGGTAGAGCAAAAACTAACATTCGCAGTTAGAGAGAGAAGGGGAATGGAGTTTGCAAGCAGCTGGGAGAGTGAGAGCCTTGGTGGTGTTTATGGGGACACCGAGCTGACCGCTACTCTTGAAGGTGTCGCAGAGGCAGTTGGGAGCGGTGCTGAGCACTGTTTTCAAGGAAGAACAGCATTTCCCCTGAGGTTTGGTCTGGGTGCTGTCGTTGGAAACGAAGGAAAGACAATCCACCAAGGTAGAGACGAGGTTTAAACAGTCGATGGCGGGTGCAGGGGCATGGGCGTGACCGTGGTGTGAGGATGAGGCGGAGGGAGCCACGTCGGCCCAGATCACGGCCACCACGCACGCAATGAGAACCCACTTGGTTGCCATCAGGAATATGGGGTTTCAACTCTCACTGTGTGTCTGTGACTTGTGACTGAGTCTGTGAGTGTGAGGAAGTAGTACTTGGAAGTGGTCCTTTATGGTGGAGATTCCACGTTCATGAGTGTTTAGTGTCAGAATTTAATATTAACCACTCATGGTCTTATGCTCCTTCATTTACTAATCTTGCTCATATGTATTTATTTACTAGTTCACTTTAGTGTTTTCTATTATTAATTTGTTTTAATTAGCGATTAAATATTTCGATTTTAGTGTTTTTAAACAAAAATTGAATTAGGTTTATTTTATACATATATTATTGTTTTTAATATATGTCGTGTAAAAGTTTTGAATCTAATCGTGCACGATTATGCTACAAGCAAAACTGTATTGCAAATTTCATTCTTCATTCTTCCTTTTACAACTTTTTTTTATGTTCATTTTACCACTGTTCATAAGAATAAAGATGACTGAAAACTATCTAACAGAATAAAATGTTATTGACCTTCGCTAGATCATAGAATTGATTCTCAAATATGTGGAAAAATCATGAGAAAAAGTTACTATCTTCAGTATCATGATGAAGTCACAAAACTTTTTGTTTGTATGTACATATGAAACATATAACATGACAAAAGAATGAGAAAGAGCTATCTAGGTTGAACTAATGACACTATAACAGTTACATCATCAAGCTTGCCACCGACATATCCCACATAACCCAGAGCCTGGGCTTCATCAGAAAAAGGACTTCTTATGGATGTTGATCTTCCAACTTCTAGTGCCCTCATGGCCAGGAATTCCGCTATTTCCTACAAGTTACCGCACCGGTACAGTAAGCATAAGCTGTCGAGTGTTTTGGAGTTTAGACTTCAGAAGAACCAGTTTTATTAGCACATGGAAAACATGATACTGACCAAGATTCTGAGATTCGTTTCAAGAGGATAATTTACAATAGAATGCTCCCAAATTTTTTCTCACCCAGAGAATTAAGATGATGAATTTAAATGATACATGATAAATATATCTACATTTTACACTCTGTTGAGAAGAAAATGCTTTAAAAGGGAAAGATACACAGATCCAAAATCAGAAGAAGGGCATTAAGTGCATCAACCTGAGGTTTTAAGCTAGCTTGTAGTGTTTTTGATATAATAGATGCTATTTCTTGCTCATAAAGATTGTCGAAGAGGCCATTCGTAGCAGTAACTATCACATCACCATCGTGTAGATCGATTGTGTACCCCTGAAACATGTTTTACCTTGAGTTGCTATGATAAATCAAATCTCTCCAAATTAACTCTGTAGCTTCAACGAATATTTAATTATTCAGTAGTCTAAAATCCTCTTATGTCAACTCTAAACTTTAGAGCTTCACTATTCAAACGATGCATAAATGAATGGTGTTTTCAAATATTAATCATGTTAAGTGAATATGACAAAATGCTAAAAGTTAGATTGTGTACCTCAATGAGTTCTGAGAGATCATCTCCTTTAACTATCTGTATTGGAAAGTTGAATTCATGAAACATTGGAGTTGATTTTTTAAAGATGGAACCATCTCTTATAATGATAAATCCAGTGTTCCCAACATTGGCTACATGAAGCACCTGTACATAAATTGCTATAGATGATTCACATACTTGAAAAATGTACTGCAGGGGGTTAGTTTTACATTTATTTATACTTTTTTGGCCACTGCGACCAAACGTAGAATCTATCTCTGCTTTTAATGACAGTCAACCTGAGATTTTAGTGGCCAGGAAACAGAATCTATCTCTGCTTCCGAAAAGATAATGGGATACTGGCACCATCCTGTTTAACTAGACATATTTTCATTGTCAACAAATATAAGATGTACAAATATGATAACATGCAAAATAATTATATGGACTCTGACCGGGCAAATGAAACAGTCATTCAAAGAAATAGAACAAATATTGTATTCAGGACAGGTAGTTAAAATTGTAGTATCTTTTGAATGAATAACTTCACTCTATCTTGCTCTTCCATTGTTCATTTGAGCTATTCACATACTCTGTTCTAACTCAACCCACTTTTAGCTTAAACAGTTAGTCATGTACCTGTCCATCAAAATGAGAAATCAAAACAGAAGATGATCCTGGAGTTTGTGTTTCAGCAGCACCTCTGGTGATAACTTCTGCAGGTTTTATTGATGAAATGTTTTCATAGTTTGATACAATATTTTCACATTTTTCAACGAGTTCTCTGACATACAGTCCAGCATTCCCTGCATTATTGTCTAAGGTGTAATAAATTATGAGTATAGATCAAAATTAAGAAAGAATATTACAGATCAGAATGGTAGTGGCAACTGGTAAGATATGAGAAACGTGTTAAGGATGCTACCATTCATCTAATCCAACAGATGCAGGTAGTTAACGCAAGTTAAGAATTATCAAAAAGGAGAACAAGCACAATTTCAAGAAATGGCATTAGGATATTGAATCGGACCATTGTAGTAAGTAATATGCTAACATTCTACAGAGAATTATGTACCAGACTGCACTTCCAGAAGCAGACACAAAGAAGCGACAAAAACAAAGGCATACTAATGCTGTAGTTTTAATGGATTTTCCAAATATTGTAGAAAGGATACCTTCAAGTGACCACTGACCAACTCCATCAGCCACAGCTAGCCAGTTATGCTGAGAAATGAAATAAGCATCCTCTCGACCTGTCAATGCCTGAAACTTGTTATTAGTTGACTTATCATCAGTCATTCAGGATTCAAGCCAAACATCAGTTAAAATGTCCAGCACATTTTCATGATTATATACATGTAATGTAATAAACAAGTCAGATTCAAAGGCTAGCAGTATTTGCATAGAAAAAAAAACAACTTGAATAATTTTTTTAGAATTTGATATAACTAAGATGCTGAAATCCCAACACTGTCATTTGTAAGCTTAACATGCTTCACTCTCATCCCTATCGACTTAGCAGAATCAGTTTTGAAATTGAAGTCTGGAATGTACCTTGGAGGGATGAGGCCAGCAAGTACCACCAGAAACTATGAAGAGCTCCGCTTTTGAAGTATTTTTCCTGTGTAAATGCAAGTTAACAAATGCAAAGAACCGTGAAACAGGTTTCATTTCCAAATTCCAAGAAGTTGACATGCATCTATAATGGTTTGGTTTCTGCCTTTTTGCATTTAGAAGAATAAGATGACCATTGGGAACTATTGTACTTCATTCCTCACTAACAGCAATGTATTACTTCCACTATATTTAACTTCTATGACTCTGCATGATTTGAAAACTATCATTGCTTTTATCACTAAATTCAGTAAGTAAATCATGTTCAGAAATATTCCTTTTGCAAAAAAAATGAGAAATTTTCAATGGGTGGAAATACATTTCATAAATTAGTACTGTAGGCCATGAGAAGAAGGGGGAACACAATATAGAATACAGAACAGAAAGAAGATAGTTGGCATACCCATGACTAGCCACCTCAACTGAATGTATCTGTGGTATAGTAAGCTGCGATGTGGTATCACTTCTTTCAGTATTGTCAACATCTATGATGTTTTCCAAATCTGAGGATGGAACCTCATCATGTAACTAAATACAAAATGAACACAGAAATCATATTAGAAACTGTAGCATCTGAATCCAGTTAAAAGAAATTCTTGAAGGCAATATTTCCGTTGTTAAGGTCAATATAATTGTATCTCTAAAAGCATTCAAACAAAAAAACATGCACAGAAAAAGTAAATGTTAGCCTTTGTAAGGAAATGGAATAAGACTAACCAATTCTGACATTGCCATTTTACTTGCATCAATTAAGTCATCCACAATGAGGTGAGTTGTTTCTTCATCATTAGAAACAAGTTCAGACTCTAAAGAAGAGGCTTCTGGCAACAATTCACTTATGGCAGTATCAACAGCAACATTCAGGTTTTTTGTTGCACTATAACTAACTTGTTCCGACTCTAAAGAAGTGAACTCTTGCACTAATTCACTTAAGTCACCAACAGAAGCAGTCAGGTTGTCTGTTGGACTATGACCGACTTGTTCAGAGTCTAAAGAAGTGGATTCTGGCCCCACTTCACTTGCATCAGTATCATCATCAGCAATCAGGTTGTTTGATGCACTATAATCAACTTGCTCAGACTCTAAGGAAGTGGATTCTGGCTCCAATTCACTTGTGTCAGCAGCAGCAGCAACAGCAGCAGTTGGGTTGTTAGTTGCACTATGACTAACTTGTTCAGAGTCAGACTCTAAAGAAGAGGATACTGGCACCAATTCACTAACGTCAGCAGCAACAGTAGCTGTTGGGTTGATTGCTGCACTATAACCAACTTGTTCAGAGTCAGACTCTAAGGAGATGGATTTTGGCACCAATTCACTTATTTCAGCAGCAACAGTGGCAGTTGGGTTATTTGTTGCACTATAACCAACTTGTTCAGACTCTAAAGAAGTGGATTCTTGCACCAGTTCACTTAAGTCAGCATCCAACGCAGCAACCAGGTTATTTGTCAATCCATCTACATCATAACTCTTGCCAGCTGTAGAGAGATGAGCAACTTCAATGTTAGCCTTCTACCTGAGAAACAGAACAATCACTATTAAAAACATCAATGGATAATGTTGACTAAGAAGATACTAAATAAGCCACAACATCACCTTCCTCTTCAAGTTCTGCAGAAGCGCCATTCTTCAGATTAGAGACCACATCAAACTCAGGAGCAACAGTTGAAACTACAACTTCTTGATGACTATCAAGTTCCGAACCCTCATCAGATGCACTCAGACTTAAAATTCCTTGTTGACCATCACCATCCTCCACAGAATCCAACTTCAAAAGTCTATCAATTTTATGCAAATCATTGATCACTGGAGTCCCAGGATCACTATTAATAACAACACTATCCGTTTCATTCACGGGAAGCTGAGAGTTTTGATCAGCAACACTTACTAATACAGTTGAAGAAAACTCAATTTCATCCCCTAATGTACGAACAACCTCAGTGTTCAATTTTTCAACACTTTCACTCACCAAAGCTCGAACACCAGCTTTGTCTTCTTGCACAACACTCTCACGAACAAGCTTTTTTTTGTTCAATGCATCTAGTTTTTTCTTTTTGTTCAATGCATCTGATTTTTTCTTTTTGTTCAATTCATCTAATTTTTTCTTCTTGTTCAATTCATCTATTTTTTGTCTAATCTCGCTAGCAGTGCCGAACCGGAACAGAAAAGTACCATCGGAATGCTCTGCCAAAATAACCAGAAGCAAAAGATCATATTGATCAATTCAGAAAAATAAAATAAAACCCACAAACCAAAATGAATAAATTAACATAAACCCAAAAGAAAAAAAAAAAAAAAGTAACAGTCTTTGAGAGTTAAGGCAGCATACCAGTGGAAGAGAGAATATCAAAATCATCAGGATCAGAGCTCGGGGAAGAAGTGGCATTGGGAAGCATGTGGGTATGGTGTGTGAAGCTCATCCAAGGTTTGGGAAGTGGAATTGGAGCATAAATTCGAAGCCTTTCAGAAGAATTTGGTGGAAGATTGCAGCATGGTAACCAGAAACAATGGAAGCTTCTGGAGAAGAGATGAGCCATTTCATGAAGTTTTTTTTTTTTCTTTTTGTTCTTCTGAAATTTGATTAATTGTTTTTCAAAATTGTATTAAGGCATGATTTGCATTGTGGGTAGGTTGAAGAGAGTGAGTAGAAGGGTAGAGAAAAGGAAGGAGATGTGGACAACAACAGATTACAGACAGAAACAGAGGAAGAACAACAGAGGAAGGAGATGTGGACAACAACAGATTCCATTCCTGAAACTTCTCCACCTTACATCCATCCATTTGATGATTACGCGGTGTATTACCTCAAAAATATGTGAGGTAGAACAACAAGTATTACAAGATAAAAAATAAATAAAAACACATTCTTAAGAAGGTATTATAATATTGCGAATTTAATTGGAATGTCTTCAAACTGTAACCATTCTTTATTCTAATTTTGAACCTTTTTCTATATCTATATAACTATTTTTTTACTACTTCTTAGGTCATTAATTTCTATAATTAATTTATGGATTATTATTATTATTATATAATTTTTTAATTAATGAAAATCGGATTTTTTTTTTTACTTTTATAGGTTACATTGCTATTTGAGTTACTAGATTTTTAAATATTTTCCGTAAGACTCTATAATTCCTTTTCACCAATATGGTTTACACTTATTTATAGTCAACATATTGAAAATATAATTATTACGAATTTCATAGGGAAAAAAAAACTAACATAGAAATATTTGTCAATTAATTTTTTTATTTTAAATGAAAAAAAATTGTCGATAAACTTATCAAAAGGACTTTTTTTAATTACTATATATGGATGGAAAGATTTGAGTATTGAAATGTGGGTGTCGAAATTTTTTTAGTAAATATTTATGTAACAATAATTTAAATTTGTGAATAAATTTATCATATATATATATATATATATATATATATATATATTTAACATATATAAAATGAAGTATTAAGATAGACTTAATCTAATATATCAATCTAAAAAATAAATTAGATTAGAAAAAAAGTTATAACATAAATTTAATTAAATTAGTTAACCCATCTTATATAATAATGATAATTATTATTATTTTAAAATAAAAATAATATATATATATATATATATATATATATATATAATGATATAAGAAATATCTGTTAATTAATAAGATTAATTACTATTTTATATTAAAAATTATTAAAAAATAACTATTTAATCTTATTTTGATATTGAATGGATCCCTCTTTAATAATTTATATAAATCATTAGATCTTAAATAAAAATTAATTTTATTAATATATTTTAATTTTAAAAATATTTTATTTTTAAATATTTTTTAATTAATTATTTTAGTACATACATTTCAATTTTTTTTTTCAGTTTTCAACCATACACAAATTTGTCTATTAGTTGGTTAACCTAACATAAGGTCATACTATACTAGAATTTATGGTATATTTTAAAATATAAATCAAGTGATATGACCTATTTTGACAACTCTAATTATAATACATGTTAACTTATATAGCAAAGCGTTAGAGTGGATTTTGTTTTCCCACCCCTACCTAGATTTTTATAATCATCTTCATCTTTCTCTCAATCCCCGTCAGGATTAGAAATTAAATTTTCATCTTCGTTCAAATTAGGTTTTGAGTTTTTTGGACCTAGACCTATCCTTGTTCTATATTATTTCTAAAAATATAATTATATTTATAATAAATTAATTTTAATATTTATAAATTTTAATTATTATTAATTAAGTATATGCTTTAATTTATTATATTTTATATTAAAATATGTATGTAAAAAATATTTAATTTTTTTATTATTATTATTATTATTATTATTATTATTATATTGTATTTAAATGTATAAGTTAATTATTTTTTAAGTTATTATTAAAAATGTTAATAAATATGAAATATATAGGTTATAATCAAATATTTAATAAGTTAATTATTCTTTAATTATTTTAAAATAATAAATTTTTAATATTTAATATTTAAAAAATATAATTATTTTATTAAAATAAAATTTGATATATGATAAATAAAAATAATAAAATTTATATAATAAAAGTTAGTAAAGATAAAATAAAAATAAAATATTATTAATTATTATTAAGATGGATGTTAAATATTAAAAAAAATAAAGAAAAATTTACTTTGTCAAATTGATTAAAAAAATTAAATGATTAAAGAGATTAAAAAAATAATACATTAAAAAAATAATTTTATATATAATTTAAAAAAATATTAATTTTAAAAAATTAATATTTTAAAATTTAAATTTAAATATAAAATTCATAAAAACAAAATCGGAGTTACTACTAGGTGAAACTTAAACATTAGTAATTCTATTTTTTCTGGTCAAACTAAAAAAAATTACCACGTGATATATAAATTTAGTTATCTCTTCCACGTGAACTAAGAAATTCTTATTATATTTTTATATAAAAATAATTTATTATATATAAATTAAATTTAATATATAATTTAACGTTATAAATGCTTATTATTTTAATATTATATTTAGAATTTAAGTTTTAGATTTACATAAATACACGTACCATCTTAAATTACATAATACATTCTTGATTTCTTAATTTTTTTAATTACAAATAAATAAATAAATGAGAATTCATTTTACATAAATTATTGGAAAAAATGTATATTTAAATTAATGTTTTGAATGAAGAGCGGTGACGAGACTTCTAAATATATACTTTTTTTTTGTATTCTTTTTATTATATACTGATTTATGATTTTCTTAGTTATTTTTATAATTTTTCTTACTAGTTTTTTAATTGACAATCTTTTTTAATATTAGTTTGGTACGAGGATAAAATTATCATTATTGTATGATAATTGGTAGCAATAGTCACAATAAGGAGTTTGTTTATAAGCAATGCACTGATTTAATTAAAAATCAGAATGACACGCTTTTTATATAATTATAGCAAAATATTACCAATTAGTATTTTTTTTATTAATTAAGAATATAAAAAAATGTACTTAGCTAATATAACGAATTTAATAATAAGATGCATATTAACTATTTCAGACTAATAGTTATAATTATATGTGATGCATAATTCTTTTAATAGGATGAAAAAAGAAAAATAAAAGTATTATAATTTAAAGAAAAAAGAATTATTATAATTTATATATTTTTAAAAATGAATATATTTAAAGAGTAAAAAAAAACTTAAAATAATATTAAAAAAAACTAATTATAAAAAAATTGAACACATAATCAATTTACGGTTTCGTAATATTTCTATAAAACTTTTTCCTACGTATTTATTCCAATAATTTTTTAATTAATTATCTCATCTAATTATTTTATTTATTTTTTATGATGAACCGATTAAAGATCTAATGGATATTTATTGCAAGAGAAACATTAACTATATATTATTTAGCACTTTTTAAAATATACATTTTTGTTTTATTTCTAAAGAAAATATATATTGGGTGTGGTATTTTGACATCCACTAATCCAATTCAACAATCCATGATAATAATAAAATAATAAATAGTAATTTTATAATAAGAGATATATAAGAAGAAATGGGATTACAGGATGGATGTTTGTTTGTATAAAGGGATTATCAAAATAAAATTTTCCATATATATTTTTGTTATTAACTGAAAAATTGATTAAAAATATAAAAATTATAAATCTTACATTTTATTCTACGATAAGTACACTGGTCATTTTTTTAATCCGAAGTACATTATAACTAATAATAATAAAAATGGGTAAAAAGTGTATTATATATCAATCATCTTCCTTACATTAATTCACCATTCTAAGTCCTTTATATTCTGAATTAAAAAAAAAAAATCGTGTCATAAATTTCATTCAATTTTTCGCTGATAGTTGAATATTGCCCGTGAACTTTGATGAGTAACATTTAGAATAACGAATACGCCATAGATTTTTGTGAGGTGACGAAGCAGGTTTGTGGTGATCCTCGTCTTAACTTCATTAAAATGGTTTTGTTGGGACGTGATTCTATTGCAAATTATTATCTTCCGAAAAACATGGCCAACAGGGAAAGATAAAAAGAAGAACCTAAGTGGAGGGGAAGAGATGGTTGAGTAGTCCACGTGGCTGGAAGCAACATGGGATGAGGATGGACATCCAGTTCCCATTGGTCCGAAATCTATCCATTATAGCTTAAGATTTCTTCTACAGATTTCATTGTCCTACTTGGCCTGCTGTGAGAACTCCTTAGATTCTCTACCACTTCACATCCACACACTCATAAAATCTCTCAAGTACTGCATTTCCTGAGTAAACCTCAAAAGTAGCCTATATTTTCTTACTGTCTCCAGAGAACTTAGAGAGATGGCAGCTGCAACAGCTGGTGCTGTGTTAAATGGGTTGGGGTCTTCCTTTTTGAGTGGAGGAAACAGGAGCCAAACCCTTCTGGCCACTGCTATTGGAGGCAAAGTTGGTGTTGCTGTGAGTCCTAGAAGACTCATTGTGGTAGCTGCTGCAGTACCAAAGAAGTCATGGCTCCCTGGTGTTAGAGGTGGTGGCAATTTCGTCGACCCAGAATGGCTTGATGGATCGTGAGTCCACCCAAATTCCTTCACAATTTTTTTATTTCAAATGTGTTTTCTGAAATAATTCCATGCCTATTTAGCATTATTTTTTAATTTTCTGAAAAAATGTTTTCAAATCAAGTGTTGGAAAACTAAAACCAGATTTGGTTGAGAGGTGTTTTTTCACTGTCATCTTTTGTTTGGTGGTCCTAGCTTAAGGGTGTGAGTCATTTGAAAGGGTGAATGTTGAATGTGGTGGTGAGGCATGAACTTGGTGAAGTTGTATATTTTGAAATCTAAACAAAACTACTAACTTTGTCTCTTCACTTTTTCCTTCAAGTTTTCTTTAGAAATTGATTTATTATGTTTCAAGTGCAGGCTACCAGGTGACTATGGTTTTGACCCACTAGGCCTTGGGAAGGACCCGGCATTCCTCAAATGGTACAGAGAAGCTGAGCTGATTCATGGGAGGTGGGCAATGGCTGCAGTAGTCGGAATCTTTGTGGGGCAGGCCTGGAGTGGAGTGCCATGGTTTGAGGCTGGAGCTGACCCCAATGCAATTGCCCCTTTCTCTTTTGGTTCTCTTCTAGGAACCCAGTTGCTTCTCATGGGATGGGTTGAGAGCAAGAGATGGGTGGATTTCTTCAACCCAGACTCACAGTCAGTGGAATGGGCGACTCCATGGTCAAGAACAGCTGAGAACTTTGCCAATGCTACCGGTGAACAAGGGTACCCAGGAGGCAAATTCTTTGACCCTTTGGGCTTGGGTGGCACTATCAAAGATGGAGTTTACATCCCGGATACCGAGAAGTTGGACAGATTGAAATTGGCTGAGATTAAGCATGCCAGGATTGCTATGTTGGCCATGCTGATTTTCTACTTTGAGGCTGGACAAGGAAAGACCCCCCTAGGCGCACTTGGCTTGTAAACTACACAATTCATGTAGATAATTGAATTGAGAGGGTGGAGTTGCAAATGAACCTTTGTCCTGTTTGTGTTACCCCATGACAAATGCAAATTCTATTCTCTCATATCGATGCATTCACTTTATGTCTGTACTCCAATGTGGCGCCGTATAAATACTTGCATTTTCTTTTCTTTCTCGAAACAGGTGTTGTCGCAGTCATATGGGAGATTAGAAAAATATTGCTAGTGTCGGTCTGTGTAGCCTAGTCGTATGGAGTTTTAAGTATCATTTTTATCCACAATTGGGTAAAAACTGTATACAAAGATCGGATTGCCATAAGCAAATACTCTGAAAACAAATCTGGATAAGATAACACAAGGTCAAATGCCAATGATTTCATCCATCAAAGATAATCTTGCACCAAGTAACAACTACCAAAGTAAAACCATATAGAAATAGAACAGAATGTTCAGATCGATTTCATTGAAAATGCGTACATTAAATTAAATGTTCACAATATTCTGCATTAAAAAGCAGAAGCATTTAAAATTAACAGATATAAGAAAATAAACTCTATTCCAGTCGGAAGGAATATCTCTACTTATTCGCTCCCCATGGCCATCAAAAATTCACCCTCACACACAACTTCACCTCCAACATATGCCTTCCCTTCCATCTTTGCTATTCCAAATCGCTTTTGCAGCTTAGTAAGTGTCATTCTCATAACTAAGGTGTCCCCTGCAATCACAGGCTTACGAAATCGCACTTTGTCTATTCCAGCAAAGAAGAAATTTTCACGAGAACCTCCCACTTCAGGTTGCAACATGACCAAACCGCCAACTTGTGCCATTGCCTGCAGCAAAAGACCTCATATTAATGTCCACTTTAAAAAACAGATTGGCATAAATCATATAAAGTTTTCCCTCTTTTCTTTACATTCTTACATTGGAGGTTGAGATAAATGGAGCTATTAGATACTCTTTTTGCATGCAGTTCTAAAACTTACAGCTAATTATAGAGACTGGTTGTTCATCTCAACAAGAGAAGTCTGACAGAAGTTGGAGTCTAAGAATTATAGTTCGTTGAATATAAATAAGCTTAGCAATCTAACAAGTAATCGTAAGTTGTTGAATGCTGGTCCAATCAAGATGAAGATACAAACCAGTTTCAGAGACTATATATTGGACTCTTGTTGATGTTCTTGTCACATTTAAAAAGGTAAAAGGTAAACAAATTTAAACAATTCGGTACACCCAAGACACAACCTATCAATGGAGTGTAATCCACTCAACCCAAAAAATACATGAATACTACAGTTAAATTTCATTTTTCTGAGTATGAAAAACAGATGCCCTAAATGAGACATGAAGGAAACTGGACACAATGAAAGAGCGTCACCTATGTAAGTATCACATTCAAAATCAAGGGAAAATATATGAACATGAAGTTAGCCACATTTACTTGTCAACCTCAAATCTCAACCTCCAAACTTTACATTGGTTTCAAGATATTTCATGTCAAAATTAATTAATTAATTGTAACATTAATGCCACTTATTTTACGAAATACGGACCTGCTAAAGTATGGGAACTCATGTAGATGACATGACCTAGAAGAACTTTGCATACTCCCAATGCACACACACATAAGATTAGCTAATATGCTACCGCTTGTCTTTTTGGAAGGAATATCTTAGCAAGCTATATTATAACACTGGATTTATTAAAATACTACAATGGTTTGAAAAAAAAAATAATACCACCTCAGCAAAATATACTCCTATTTATTGTTAAATTTTTAAAAATGTCTCTCTTCTACGTACCCACTCTCCTTTTGCCAGAATGTCAAATTAATTTCACTACTAAAGATGACATTTCAATCAAAATTCATGCATACGAGAATGTATATCTACATAAGAAATGCCATGGTGGTAGTGTCTATGTTTAATTCAACTAGTAGATGCAAAGACATATGTCTAAGCTGCAAACATGATCTTGATAAGGTTGATGTGAGCATTGCACAAGTCTCAGAATCTAGCACAGCGGAGTACGCATTTGAAAAAATGAAGGACTAAAAAGTCTACATGCGCACAGTTGTAGCATGGATACCAAACAATTTCTTCAAAAGAATATTCAATCAAACATTTAAAAGCAGTGAAAACAAGCCAGGACATATCCTCTAGATAGCCCCAACATCAATATATACCATTGAGTTTAATAGAGCACTTGAGTACTTGCCAACTCTGGGCTACATTCAGGATTTGGGAAGCAAACCAATGACGTAAACTATGTCAAGATTTTCTCATTTGAAAAATCAATTAGAACTCATGATCCATGAACTACAAGCCTAATTGATTTGCATATAGCCATAGTAGGGTAAGTTGAAGAACTACACAAGTGGGAGAAGCTCAATTTAGAAGTCCAAAATCTCAAAATTCTTGTACATCCGACTAAAAATATTTATCCTCTGACTCAAGACTTTTTTTTATTGTTATCCTACGCAAAACATCAAATATTGATTAAGTCATTTTTTCAGTGCATTTTCAATTTATGACAACATATATAATAACATTGATTCATTTTTTAGTACAAAACTGTCACTTTTACTGCTTCATACAGCAGTAAAGAATGTATTCAATGCTGTAAAAGCATCTACGTTAGCATCTTTTAACTCTTATTGGTCGTATTTAGTCACTTTCAACAGAAGTGCACATTTTATTATGGCAAATTGTCAATGCTAGCAATCACACCGCCGTATATCAATTTGAGAGAGGTTTACTAAGAACTATGTTCATCTACTTTTTTGTCTAATACAATTATGCCTAAACATCTTTTAATTTTATATTAAAAAGTTCCTCTCCAGGATAATTGCATTTTTCAAAAGCATAAAGACTCTAGGATCGTTGCAAGTTTGCAACCACGACACTTAGTTTAAACAAATTGATATATCATTTTGCAAATGCAAAGTTTACAAGAGGTTGGCCATCCTTATATTTTTAAATAAGCTACTATAACGATATACACGTAAAGCAATAAAGAATGATAAGATATTACAAACTTTCTACAACTAAATCTCAGTCTATACATTGTAACAAATTGACTCAATTCTATTATATTTAATCATATGAACAGCTTAGCTCATTGCAGATACACAATAACTAAAATCACGTGATTATAGACAAGGCAAGATCAATATAAAAAGTAGGGCCAGCAATCAGCATAGTGTATATCTTAGTACCTCAACCATGAGAACACCAGGCATGATGGGTCTTTCAGGAAAATGTCCAGGAAAGAAATTGTCATTAATTGTCACATTCTTTATGGCCACTGCAGAAACCCCGGGATTGTACTCAATCACTCTATCCACCAAAAGGAAAGGAAACCTGAAAAAAAAAAAAAAAAAAACATAAAAAGGTGAATGTGAATCTCACCAATGTTCAGAAAACAAATAAGAAAAAAAAAAAAACGCTGAGAGTACCTGTGGGGCAAAATGTCACGAATCTGGTTTATATCCATGACGGTTGGGAATGCGGAATACCCTGCAAAACGCGCACAGTTTCTTCTCGAAAAAGGAAAAAAATTGAAACGAACAGAGAATCAAAAGGGAGTAAAAAAAAGTCGTACTTAATTCAATTGGGGTGTCATGTTGAGGAGCATTGGCATCATCAGAGGAACAAAACGTGGTCGTTTTGCTGAAGGAGGGGTGGGATCTGGTGCTTGGGAATTTGAGAAGCGGGAATTTGGGTTGAAAGGAAATGGATTTGGGTTTGGATGGAAGAGTTACGGGAGAAAGCAATGCGTTGGAGAAAGCAGAGGCTGCCATTGGCTTTCAAGTGTGAAGTGAAGGGTCACAACACAGCTTGCAATGGAAGAGTGAGACACTGAGTTATTGGGTGTGAATGCAATTGCAGGTTAACGTTAAAACCAAAGAATGGCGACAGGAACAAGGAAGTTGAAGTTCAAGGGTGGAAAGTGCGAGTTGGAAAGCTAAAGCTACTTTTTGAGTTTCAGTGAGGGCGGAGGCTCCCATGATGTTTTTGTTGTCTGTTCAAAAGGTTCTGTGTTGTGTTCTATTGGACCATAAAAACTACAACACTCACTCCTAGTTGCAACGTAATCCAACCCAGCCCACTACATTTTGGGCCCAATATTGGATCTGTTATAGGCCCACCCAAACGTTATTTTCACCCCTTTTTCTCTAAGTTCTTACCTCAGTTTTTTAATTTCTAAAAAGGAAAACGATTCTTTGACAACCGAAAACAAACAACTGTTAGACAACCGGGGCTAAAAAGAAATTAATTAAAGATAAGGGTTTGATTAGTAAAATTATATGGGTTCAGATATGTAATATTGTAAAAATGGGGGATGTTATAGAAGAATTGCAGGGCTCGTTCTTCCTGGCTTCCAGGCTCCTGCCTTTCCATGAGTTTGTAGAGCAAAGACGGGGCCAGTGAGTGCCACCTAAAGATCCGAAAGTCAAATCGATACCCAGCTGCGTCACACCAAGGGCATAGACGAGAGCGAGTAAGCGCCCAAGCGACCAACGGCATAAAAATTTTCACTCCTTTCGTTTGGTTTCCCGGTAGTAGTCCCGCCAAGAGTGAATAAGAAAGCTCTTGGCGCCTTTGTACGAGCTCATATGAGAAAAAGTAACTCAAGGGTACACTTTTCTCCTTCCGGGATTTGCAGGAGTTTACTTTCGTTTGGTAAAGGTTCAACTGTCGTTGTCGCTCAAGCGATTACATAGTCGCTCGAGCGCGAGGCGACCTTAGATAGCGGTTGGCAAAATAACCGCTATAATAAATGTAGTTTAGATAGCGGTTGGGCAAATAACCGCTATCTAAAGTCATATATGTCATAATGTATAGTTCGGATAGCGGTTGGCCAATTAGCCGCTATCTAAAGTCATATATGTAAAGCTGATCGATTATAATTGGGTAATAATCGATCATAATGCATAGTTCAGATAGCGGTTGGCCAAATAACCGCTATCTAAAGTCATAGATTATGATCGATTATAATTGCATAATAATCGATCATAATGTATAGTTTAGATAGCGGTTGGCCAAATAACCGCTATCTAAATGTTAGAAAAAGGGTCTGGTTCTTTATTACATTGATTTTCGCTTTTCACATTCGCGCTCTTCCTCGCTCGACTTCTTCTCCCTCGACTTAGGGTAAAATTTCTCCATCTCGCTCTTGACGGCGCTCGACTTCCTGTCGCTTGGCTTCGTCCGTGTCGTTGGAGCTGAACATCACTGTGTGTTGCTTGAGTGACCCTGCGGTGGTGAGTGTTCGTTTAACAACATTTGCTTGATTTTGTGTGTATTTTTGATTGGGTTTCCATTGTTGTTTTCTTTTCTGTTTATCTTTGATTGAGTTTGTAATGAAGGTGTTTTTCACGGTTTAGGGTTTATTGAGTTGTGATGCTATATTAATGTCGAACAAGTGTTTGATGAAATGCTATAATGAAGAATTGTATTTGCGCATTGTTGCTTTGTTTTCTATTTATCTTTGATTGGGTTTGTAATGAAAGTATTTTATAGGGTTTAGGGTTAATTGAGTTGTGATGCTATATTAATGTCCAACAAGTGTTTGATGAAATGCTACAATGAAGAATTGTATTTGCATGACAAACATTTTGTATAATATGCACAAGATTTACACCCACGTTTGCATAATTCACAATTTGACCAAAAGTATGTGTAACATGGTTGGACTTAATTTTTTTGTTTGTATTATTTTGTGATTGTAAGTTACAATTTTAATAATTTGTAACAGGATTAGTTTGGGAAAAAATGTCTGCAAAAAGAGACCGTCTTGACGAGAAAAAGGTATGTGCATGTTAATTATAGTTTTTTTATGAAAAGTGATTTACTAAATATTCAATTTGTTATATGTTATGTATGTTATATATGTTATACATGTTATATTTGCGAGATAAGATTAAGACACAAGATTGAGGCAGAGTATATAGGCGATATAAATTCAAAGTTGACCAAACACCAACGAGCAACTATTGAACAAACTCCGTTTAAATGGCTTCTTCAAATAAAAGAGCCATTGCAAATATCAAGCAATATTATAAGAGAACTAGTTAGTCGATGGTCGAGTTAGTGATCATTGTTTTAGAATAAAACAATATCTTGTCCCATTCACCCCTTTAGATGTTTGTTTTTCGTTAGGTTTACGTATAAGGGGGAGGTAGTTGTTTTAGAAGATAGTGGTTCATGTTTAGTAAAAGATTTATTCGACGAAGAGGAACCAATAACGAGTAACAAATATAGTTAGGAAGTCTGAAAGGGAAAAAAATTAAGCATGTTAAATATGTAGTTGACTTTTGTAGGCTTTATATCCTACTTGGGTGGGCGGTTTTTTACTTTCCTCGCACATCCCGCACTGTTCATAGTGTTCCTTTTAGTTTATTAGATGATTTAGAGGCATTAGATAATTATAATTGGGGAAATGTTGTGCACGGTTTATTAGTTAATAGTTTGCATCGTGCTAGTAGAAAGTTAAACGAGGAAAAAATGCTTCTCAATTGTACGTTGCTTTGGTTGTGTGGTCGTCTTACGGGTAACTTTCTTACAAATGATTGATTTATTAGTTGATATGAAATTATTGTGATTGATGACATTTTATTATGTAATAGATCCGGGCGATGGAGCACCTGTCTTTGCCTACTGATCCACCACGAAAGATTTGTTTTCCGCGTTTTGTTGAATGGCCTAAAGTGAACATTCGAAGGTCCAAAATAGAACGTGTATTCATCTCAAACAATGTAAGAAATTTTGTGTACAACATATATAAATTTTCCTTAAAAATGTGGACTTATTATATTATGTTCCTAACATATAAAGTTTTCCTTTATATGTTAGATTGTATGGGATTGGGCACTGTCTGCGGATGATCAGACAATGAAAGTTGTGCAAGAAGCTTTGACGCATTCACAAATTGAGAATACGGACATACCTTCCTCCAGTGGTGCGTCATGTGACTTGCAACAACTTTTATCGGACCAGCGCATATGGAGATCTAAAACAGAAGAAAATCAAAAAAGGATCATTCAGCTTGAACGTGAAGTTAAAATTTTGAAAGAACAAATCGGGATTCACATGAATAAGTCATCGATAAAGGTGAAGGGGATTGGTGAGGATGATGACATGTATCAATTTTATAAGTTTTGCACCACCAACCTTGATAATCCAAACCGGTTAGTATAAAATAAAATTTATTACATTCATTCAATTTAATTAGTATAAAATGCAATGTAATCCATTATTGTATTTCGGTGTTGTATTGGAAGTGCATGGGCGAGATATTGACTATGCGAGAACTTGCACACATTAAAGCCAAGGGGTCATATTGACAATATGGTAAGTTTGTTTATTTAATGAAAAAGTGTGATTCAATATATTTTTAAAAATTATATTTATTAATATCATATGGGTTGTTAGGTGATGCTTGTTTGCAAGTAGTCTAATGATGTATGACCAAATGAATGTCACTGGTGGCGGCATTCAACGTTTTTGTTTCAATCCTTTGTTTGCGGTATGTTTATTGTGCATTTAAAAAGTTAAGTTACACATAGGTTTATTATCATTGATTGTCATTTATTTTTGTGCCTTTTGATAGACACAAGTGATTGAACAAATGTATATTCGCAAAGGGAACACATCGACGTGGACAATGAAAGACTTCTCACTTTTCTATCCAAATACAATTATTCCATTACGTGCAGTTATTAAGTTGTGAATTTGTGAGTATTTATACTTTGCCTTAAATTTATATATTTGTCAAGATAAAATTCAATTAACCAGAGTTTTTTCTATTTCAGATTTTTGCTCCCACTTGTACACAATGGTCATTGGTGGTGTTATGTGCTTGAAATGTAAGGATAGAGAAGCTGTTTATATTAGATTCGTTGGACCATGATAATAGATCACGAAAACCAATTGATAGAGCTATGGTAAATATTTGTTTTAAGTTGTTTACGTAGGTAATATTGTTAATTCAGAGCTATGTTTATTTGGTGAATAATGTAATATTGTGAACAGTTGCAATGTTTTGAACATCTATTGTCGTTGTTGGAAACAAAGTCATCGAGGACCATTGGTGAACTTAAGGTTACAAAGGAGGACTTGCCAATTCAACCAAACATGTTAGTATGTTATTATAGTTGAAATTTTGTTTGCAAAATGTTGTATGTAACGTGTGTAATAACTACATTCAATTGTGCGAGATATGATTGTGGATTGTTTGTTTTAAAATATATGGAGTTGTGGGATGGTGTGAGCAAAGTGAATGGGAGAAGCATGCCTCATTACACATCGGTAAACATTAAAGTCATTGTATTATTGTTTTGTTTTTTATTACTATGAATACAATTTATTATGACATTCTTCATATTGTACGGGAGCAAGTTCAGAAATTTCGAGAAGAATATGTATGCGAGATGGGTACTTCATCCCGAAAATCTCCATCGACAAGTCATGGTTACTGAATCAGGAGTTAACATCCTCATGTAGGAGTAGAAATTTAGATATTGTATTTGATTCTTTGTTTATCTTCATTGATGAATGTTGTACAGTTTAATCATATGTAATATAACTGTTAAGTTGGTTATGGATCATTTAAATGTTAAATATTATGACATTATAAATATTGTCTACAAAGTACATGTAATTACTACCAGATTTATATGTTACAAACATATGAAATGAGGATGCTCCTCTATAGTATTAACTGTTAAAGGGCATGTTGGATTGGCTGATAAGGGTAGAACTATCCTCATACCACATGCTTGGATGATATATGGAGCATGGCCATCACCCACAAAATGGTCATTAATTTCCATTTGAATTTCTGATGGCAAGATGTTGATATGTAATATAAAAGAAGAAATTCAGATTAAAAGAACAAGGGAAGAGAACAATATAAACTAGCATATAGAAATTGTACAAGTGACAAGATTTATTGTAGGAAAGATGTATAGGTTTACGTTGTAAAGAAATTGTACAAGTGACAAGATTCATGCTTAATAGTTGTAAAGAAAGCGAGTACAGCGTCGCTTGAGTTGGTTCACCATATATTGGTTCACCATATATTAGCCCAATAATTTAAGTTGGTTCACCATATATTGGAATCACTTTTCGCTCAAGCGAGTACAGCGTCGCTTGAGCGAGACAGAACCCGAGAGTTCCCATTGTTTGAAGGATTATTCGCTGAAGCGATAACTTTGTCGCTTGAGCGAGATTACAACCAATGAGGAAACATGAAACGCAGTTAGCCCAATAATTTAAGTTGGTTCACCACATATTGGAATAACTTTTCGCTCAAGCGAGTACAGCGTCGCTTGAGCGAATATTGAACCACATACCACACACCTTAGATAGCGGTTACTGAGAACCGTTTTTTAAAAGATATATTAGATAGCGGTTTGCTGTTAACCGCTCTCTAACGAAAGTTTATATGTCAAAGTGATCGACTATATTTGCCTAGTAATCGATCATAATGTTCGATAACCGATTATATTTGAGAATGATGGATTATAGGTGGAGATCAAAGTGATCTCTCGCCGGCGTTCGTGCTTTCTCGGCTCTGGTCCGTCTATGTTTAATTTTGGTGTCTGTTCATTTGGTGTAGGGTTAAATATGGTTGGTGATTTGGGCTTTGAATTTTAATTTGATGGTTCAAGTACCCACTTCAAGTGCCCAAGCTGTGACCACGAAGGAGGTGATAGCCCCAAACTGTGAAGGCGAGGGTCCCCTTTGGTTAAGGTTCCAGCGCTGAAGCGATGTCATCCTCGCTTGAACGTGGTCTTCCTTTCCTTTTAACATGCAACGGGCTACGAATGTCAATGGCAACGTTGTCAACATATAAGCTTTGTGAATCTGTAGGAGTATTACTTTCGCAGATATTGGTATCTATTTCAGTTTGAGAACGTTCAGCAGTATGTGTTGGAGCAAATTTACTCATCATTTCATGCAACATGTCCGTCTGCTCAATTGACTCTGATGCAACTTCAGCAATCTCATAAAATCTTTTGCACAAGTCATCGTATCGTACAATCTGCGGTTGCCTCTCCTTGACATTGTAGGTGGTTTTCATATAAGTATGCTTCCTTCTCACATTTTTACTCCATCTACTTAAAATGTATTTGCAGGGAATCTTTTTAACCCTTTGTTGAGGAAGGATGACCAAACAATGTCGGCAAAGAATACCTTTGAATTCAAATAGCAAGCACGTGCAACTGACATTTTGGTCATCACGGTTGAAACTTACCCTGTACAGGTGTTCTTTAGAATCTTCACCGCAAATACGTTCTTCCATAACGTCATAAAACCAAGCAGATCCAAGGCAAGACACATGCACAACACTTGCAGTTAATTTTTCCTCTAAATTCTGCTTGAACCTCTGCAAATTTTGCATGTGTGTACTCCGACTGAAATTGCCTCTCTATCAAAGACTGTGATCCACAATTAATAATTGTATGCATGGATGCAAAATCAGCTTCATATTCCTTCTCAACCTTGTCTTGTAAGGCATTTTCATACTGCTTGACAAATTGTTGGAGGGATGTCATCGAGTTGATATATCCACCAAAAAATGCATTCATACTTTCACTTCGTTGTGTAGTTGACATCCCAGCCCAAAATTGGTTTTTCAAAAAGCATGGAACCCATCTCTGTTTCTCTTGGAAAAGGCTATTCAACCACTCATTGTCTTGTAAGCCAAAATTTGATATGAAATTAGCCCATTTGGATGTGAATTCAGATATGGTGGAAGACTCATAAACAACCTCCTTCATAGCATACTTCATATTTTTATATTCTGTATAACCTTTCAACTTTTCTGGAATTTTTTTCATTATATGCCATAGACACCACCTATGACGGGCTTCAGGAAAAACTATCTGAATGGCATTTTGCATTGCCTTGCACTGGTCAGTGATAATACCCGTAGGAGCCTTCAATGACATGTAACGTAACCATGATTCAAATAACCAAATAAAAGAAGTGGTGTCTTCACTTGATAACAACCCACACCCTAACAATATGGAGTGTCCATGATGATTTACACCCACAAATGGCGCAAACGGCATGTCATATTTATTGGTCAAGTATGTTGTATCAAATGAAACAACATCGCCAAAGTATTCACAAGCCGCCCTACTTCTAGCGTCAGCCCGGAAAACATTTTTGACCCGATTATCATCATCCAAGTCTATATCAAAATAGAAATCCTTGTTTAAGTCCCTCATTTGTGAAAAATAATTCAATAGAGCTTTCCCGTCACCTTCTTTTCCTAGTGCACGTCTTTGTTTATTGACATAGTTGCGTACATCTCGTTCCACAAATTGGAGGTTTTCATAACCTCCTGCACTACTAACAATCGACCGAAAGCTTTTATTGATCCTCACGCCTGCATCATCATTTATGTCTAGAGTCCTCTTCACATGCAAACTAATGTTCCTATTGCTTCGAAACATTCTGGATTTCTTTGGGCTAAGAGAATGTGAATGTTCATCATTTATCGACATAATATACCATAGTCCTTCCTTTAATCCAAGCTGTTATCCGTGCGGGACATGAATTTGTTTTGGTGGGTTGGGTCCTAATTTCGGTAGGTGTAGCAGAAACATACTTCCCAGCTCTTGCACACACCAACATGAAGTACCGCAATTGGTTATCGGGCCCCTTCTTTGAACTCCTTGTTTTGATGCCAAATCCTTTTTGTATGGCATATTGTCGATAAAATGATTTAACTGCATCTGCAGTTTCAAAAGACATTCCTACACATGGAACAGGACCGTCGTATTCTGTTGTAGTCCTCACATCTGCGTCAGGAGATCCTTCATCATGGCCAACCAACACTTCTTCTTCATGTAAACTTGTGGCATCTGCATTACTGGGTATTTTATCATGTACACCTATCATTTCTTGGTCTACACCTTTGAGAGGACCATCACATTGTTGTACATCCGCATCACTACCTATGTCATCATACACGGCCAAAATGCCTTCATTGACAGCTACATCTCTGTTTTCATTTATATCTCCCATGCTAGATAAACGATGAAGGATACAATTCCTACCATTGCCAACAATATAATAGCAAGTTATATAAGTTCGGAACTTGGACACGAAAATAGTCAATGTAAATGTTCAATCGTTTATCTACCCAAAAAACACAATTTTAGATCACAATGTAGACAAACTCTAAACCCTAAAAATATATAATGCACTAACTCTCAATAAGCGCGGCCTACAACAACAATGGCGAATGGAGACTGGAACGCGAACTTCGCGACACACAAATATATTACAATGTAATATGCTTCAATGTGAGCAAGAGAATCAGAAAGATTGAAAATACAAAGAACGTACCTTAAGCTTAATAGAAGACGCAGACAGCGAGAATGAGAGCGTAGAGAGCGAGAATGAGAGCGCGAGAGCGAGAATGAGAGCGTAGAGAGCGGCAAAAAAACCCGGTCGAAAAGAGCGCGAGGTTGAAGAAAGTAGGAGGGAAGAATGAAAAAGAATATGACTTTAGATAGCGGTTCACTCCTAACCGCTCTTTAAAAGTATCACATTAGATAGCGGTTACTTCTGAACCGCTAACACAACATACTTTAGTGAGCGGTTCACTCACAAACCGCTATAGTATATGTCTTTTTAAAAGCGGTTGTTATTAACCGCTATCTAAAGTGTCGTCGCTTAAGCGAAATTTACATCGCTCGAGCGACGCTACCTGCCACAACTCTTCGCCTTTAATATTTTTTTATTCGATAACACTGTGCATTTAATATTTTTTATTCAGTTGTCGAATAGATGTTTAAAACCGGTTGTCAAAATATCAGTACTCTTCTAAAAATGACACACTTTGTTTGAGATAAGATTGAAAATACCGGTGAATGTATGAATTTTGTAGTATGATGTGTCATAGAAATATTAACAGAAAACAACTATAGATTATGAAGAAAATCACTCTTAAAGTAACTATAAATATCAACAATATTTTCACAGATATTACTTTGTGAATATGAAAATCAGAATATACATATAATATTTATGCTAAAAAAAATTATGCATTAATAAACGTAAACACTTTTGTTTAGCCATGACAGTTTATTGCAAAAGTAAACATAATCTTTTCTCTCTCTCTTTGAAAATCACCACCATGAATGAGAATACATAGAGTATTTCTTTCCAGTGGCACACACATGATACTTCTTGATTGAAATCTCTAAGGAATTGTCTATTTTCATCCATAGTTTCGGTAATTATTCAACCAGATAAGGGACTTAACCAACAACCTCTATTTATTGTCTAACAATGAAAAGAGATCAAAATCATCATCTTTAGTTTGTCCGATATGGAAATATCTGAGATGTAATTGCAAGTGTCTACTACAAAACTTCCAACACTTATAACCATGGACCAGTTGTGTATATATATATTCTCATGATATATTTTTTAGGTGAATGAATGCTTTTGCACATCAATGATAATATATGTATACATATTATTACAGTTTGCTTTCATTTGGCTGTAGACAAATTCACTGCAGAAGCCACTGTAGTTATCACTTGTATTTTTTTTAAATAACAAATTTCATCAATACAAACTTGAGGAAAAAGGAATCATTAGTTCTATAGCTTTTACAGTTTGGAATCATTGGGGCTCTCCAGGAAAAAGGAAGAAAAAGAAAAATCAGACTACAGATGTGAATAATATGCACTTGGAGAAGGACAACTTTTCTAAAACATGTTAGCTATAGCTAGCTAGTTAATGGCAGAACATATCTTGCGAATTTCACCCTCGGTTCCACTCTTCAACTCAATGTTGCTCATCTTCACCATAGCTTTTGCAAATTCCACATTGAAAAGCGAGCCTTTGGTGGCCAAGTAACCCTGTACAAATGACTTGGTGGAAGGATCGTTCCAAAGAGCTTGATCAGACTGCAGAATTCCTCGGCCATTCCTCAAATTAGCAAAGTACGATGTATCAAATCTGTTTTGACTACCCGTATCAAGAGCTACTCGGTTTGAACCATCACTGTTTTGCGGGCACAATGTTCTTAGTTGAGGAAGAAATAAAGGGTTGATGGAAGAGTCAGCACCATTTTCAGTGAAGTTGTACAATCTGTTACTGAAGAACTGGCAAGCTGTAGTACCAATCGTATGTCCACCTGTATATACAGATGTAAATCAGTTTGTTTCAAATCTCTATTGTCAACTCTTTGTATCTTAATTTCATATAAAATTTTCTTTGCATATATAAAAGACAAAATTGCATGCTTGTCAAGTTAAAGTAAATTTGAGTGCTTATTATAATTAGATTTTTTTTGTATACCTGTTGAAAAACGTCTTTTTTAGTTTTTTAAAACAGCCTATAAACAAATATCAAAATCACTTGACAGTGAGAGACAAGTTTTTCAAGAGACAAAAAAATGTTTCCTTCCTGGTTGGTTATAAGAAAAGTGACATCAAAAGGTCAACAGCAAGGTTCATGCGCTTATATATGTTGTCATTCCTAATGATGATCAAGCATGTGTACGTAAACAAAGTTATGTGTGTAATTTACAAACAAGGGTGACAAGGTCCTGAGTGTTGAGACCCTTTGCTGCGAACTTTTGTTTCTGAACATCAACAGAGTCAAAAGGAGCAGGCAAGTTACTAACATCAGAAGCCTGCGATATGCGCCCATCTCTGCGTCCAGTAGGCACTTGCCAACTCAGTCCACCACTCTGCCATGCAAAAAACGCCAAATTTTAATTATTTTAACTCACTAATTACATTTTTACCGCGTAAATTCAAACGTTGAGGCTTTTAAGATAATTACCAGAAATACGGAATCACGAGCAGCAAGAGTAAGGATATCAGCACAAGACACAACACCGGGGCATGCAGCCTCGAGCTGTGTTTTGGCGTCATCAATAACCTCGTATCCTCTTAAACCAAGGTTTGCAAATGCTGTTCTCTCAGTCCCAGCACCGGCAATGAGAACAGAACCGTCACAACCTTGCACAAAGCAATCATGAAAGTGCATCCGAAGCAACCCAGCAGCCAAGGTAGGATCCGACCTAACGTGGGATTGAACTGTGGACCTAACAATGGACTCAGCGGGTGGACATGTTCTAGCATAGAACCCTACGCGTGTCCCTTGGCCATGCACATAATTCACAATGGCCAAAGCAAGCAACAGAAACATTAGCGAGCACAAACTCCGTCCCTCCATTAGTTTTGTGAGGAAAGTGTTTCAAATGCAGCACCCTGTGAGAAATGAAATGCAAAGTTTTAATATTTTAGGCTATTGAATGAGAGAGTAGTGTGTGATATTCTGTGGAGTGCAATGTGATGAGGAGTTGTAGGCATTTATAGGAGTGGTGTGGTCAACTTTTGAAGACTAAAACAAAAAAGTCAGGCATTGGAGATAGAGAGTAAGCAAAGCCGGCTAGTAGAAACTGCATGCAATGCAAGTGTTGAAATGATAAGGCCAAGTTTGGAGGAGTCACGGGTTTGGTTTTGTGAGGGGCAATGTCTATACTGTTATGCAGTGGAAAAATACAAATGATACCGCGTTGGCGTGAGAGTATATACTTAGTCAAACCTTGTTTCTATACCTTTATCCTATTCCAACGAGTGACCACCACCACCTCGGCACACCACTTGCAAAAAAGTATTCATCTCATTTTTCATAACTTCTCAGCCATGCCAAGTACCAACCAAAACTTGAGAAAAATCAAACAGTGGTCCATACAAACATACCAGTCGTATTCTTTACGTCTAATCCAACTCAATATCGTTATCTACATCCATTAAAATTTTCACATACAATATTCGTTATCTTTTTTCCTTGCGCAAATAGCAGTTAACTTCGTGAAATGTAGTAAATTGACAATTGATTACTGAAACTGATGTTCAGTACTTTTAACTTCTTCTTTTTTATTACTTTTGTAATGCTTGAACACATAGTGTTTGAATTTGTCGAGATAAGTTTGCCACAAATGTCAACATCATATTATCTCTCTTTTTGTTTTTTTAAAATCAGCATCTTACGTGAATTATGATTCCATTCCCACGCACACATATGACATTGTCTATGATTGAAATTTCAAAGCAGTTGTCTCTTTACGTCCACTGTTTCCGTTTGGTACTGATTCTCATCAATCTGGTAAGAGATTTAATCATATCAAACTCACCATATTTCAATAATGGAAATTTCTCATTCTATAATATTGCTTATAATGAATGCAAACGTTGGTAGAGAAAACCGCAAAAGAAAGCTATGGACATCGTGTAATTCTGTAGCTTAAATAATATATTAGCTTTCATTTTATTGTAGACAACATAGTTATTGGATTTGACTCATCGAATATAATATGACATCAATAATTACAGACAAGTGTTAATTTACAGCTCAATACATAGCCGAAATATCTACATAGAATTTTAGGAGCGAAATAAGGAAGTGTTAAAATTGAAAAAAAAAAAGCTTAAAGTCAGTATATATATATATATATATTAAACATCTTTCCTAATATTCCTTATTGAATAATATAATAATAATAAACATAAAAAGTTGAAAAAATATTTATATTATATTAATATGGATGTGAATGTATATAATGATGGATTTTGACCATTGATTTTGGAAGAACCAGATAATATATTATTAATAAATAATAAATAAATATAAAAAGTGAAAGAAGATGAAAATGTGAGAGGATAAAATTAATGTATAAATAAATATATTAAATGATCTTTAAGTTTGAGGGACCAAATCGAAGTGATGAAAGGATAAAATTATAAATATATTAAATGATTATTAAAATTTGAGAGGACAAAATCATAAATTACATATGAGTTACAAAAGAGGAGGGTCACAAACCCTCAGTTCCAAGAAGATATGACACTGAATGTATACATTTCATTTTAAATTTACAAGATTGTGAATAACAGAAGCACGAAGTTATCTATTTTTCTGTCGCTATATCACATAATCTATATATTAGCTTTAATGATAACTATTTTTTTTACTACAATTGTTTTGATAAGTTTTAATGGATGTTTATTTTCTTAGTTTTTTTTTTTTAATTTACAATATTTTATTGAAAATTTTGAATTCAATTTACTTTAAATCAGTTCATAAATTTATAATTTTACGTAAAATGGGAACATTTTAATAAATATGGGTATTTCAATTAATAATTAAAAATAATATTTCGCTTAATATATATAATATTGAATCAATAATTAAACGGATTTGATGTTATTTACATAAGAATTATTATGTCGAAGAGACTAAACCAAAATTGATGGAGGCACTCGTTATCAATGAGGAAAATATTTATTGTATCATTTTCTGTAACTTCCAAATATGAAAACATTAATTTGCGAGCAAAAAGCAAATTATACATAATAAAACCAGTTTTACAAGCAATTTATTAATTATGGCTAGTTGATGGCAGAACATATCTTGCGAATTTCACCATCAGTACCAGTCTTCAACCCAATGTTGCCCATCTTCACCATAGATTTGCCAAACTCCACGTCGAATCTTAATCCAAGCAACCCTCTTATTAAGCCCAAGTACCTCTGCACAATTTTCTGTGTGGAATCATCACTCCAAAGCGCTTGATCAGACTGCAGAATTCCACGCCCTTTTCTCAAATTGTTATAGTAAGATAAATCAAATAGCTTTTCACTCCCCGTGTCTAGGGCAACTCGTTTTGAACCGTCACCGTTTTGTGGGCATAGGGATTGTAGTTGGGGAAGAAATGAAGAGTCGATGGAAGGATCAGGACCGTTTGCAGTGAAGTTGTATAATCTGTTACTGAAGAACTGGCAAGCTGCAGTACCAATGGTATGTGCACCTATATATTCACCGAAAACGACAGCACCCTTTATTTTTATATCCATTGGAAAGCATAGTTTACTTTTTTCAAACACTCTATAAAACAATGTCAAATCACTTGGGAACGATGGAAAAAGAATACAGAATATAAAAAGTGTAAAAAAAGTGACGTGAAAAGTCAAATATAAAGACAACGTGAAGTCATTCTACATGCATTTTGGCACTACCTCTGATTAAAACTGAGCTGTCACAATGCAACCGTGATATTATTATATTATACGTGACACACGAGTTCGATTTTCAAAATGTAATTATGATCTATTCATTGATTTGAAGTGTGTAAACAGGCTTATATGTCTAAGAGAGAGATTACCAAGAAGGGTGACAAGGTCTTGAGTGTCCAGGCCCTTGGCTGCGAACTTTTGTTTCTGAACATCAACAGAGTCAAAAGGAGCAGGCAAGTTACTGACATCAGAAGCCTGTGATATGCGTCCATCTCTGCGTCCAGTAGGAACCTGATAACTCAGTCCACCACTCTGCCATGCAAAAATGCCAAAGATTAACTACAAATTCATCACATACAAATATAATATATATAATCTCATCAACTTGTTAGTATAAACTAGTAAAGATCTCAGAACTTAATTCGTCTATGATGGTATTAATATTAATTTATTTGTACCACACAGATTATTCGAACATGCATGGGTTTTGAGTATACTAATTACCAGAACAACGGAATCACGAGCAGCAAGGGCAAGGATATCAGCACAAGACACAACACCGGGGCATGCGGCCTCGAGCTGTGTCTTTGCATCATCAACAACCTCAAATCCTCTCAAACCAAGATTAGCAAATGCTGTTTTCTCAGTGTTGGCACCGGAAATGAGAACAGAACCGTCACAACCTTGCACAAAGCAATCATGGAAGTGCATCCGAAGCAACCCAGCAGCCAAAGTAGGATCAGACTTAACGTGGGATTGAACCGCGGACTTAACAATGGACTCAGCGCGAGGACACGTACTAGAATAAAACCCTTGACGTGTCCCCTGGCCATGCACAGAGTTGACAAAAGCCAAAGCGAGCAAAAGAAACAATAGAGAGTACAAACTACCTCCCTCCATCGGAAAGGGTTGCAAATGCAAATGACTACCCCAAGTGAAGTGAAATGCAGTGTTATATAAAACAGTTGATATCTTTGTTCAGAAAACTCAATGAGAGTGTGTATGGAGTAGAATGTGAGGATGAAGAGGTATTTTATAAGGGTGGTTTTGGTCAACCTTTGGAAAGTGAGTAAGCAAAGTCGGCTTGTACATATAATATTGAAAATGATGATATGGTTAAGAGTGCGTCACGTCCATAGTCTTATGACAGGCATGTAGTGTGATACAGTGATAATGCAGAATGAATGATTCATTCCGCGTGAGGTTGTAGTTTGTCAAAGGGTGATTTACCTTTTTTTTCTACCTTTTGCAACAAGTGGAATCTTTGTTATTGCTTTTGGCTTGTCACCTTCGAAGGCGACGAAAATGGAAGGTGCCAGGAACAGCAAAGTTCTCCACCATGAACAAGTTTTTCTTTTTCTTAAGAATCTCCATGTGTGAATCCTGTTTCTAGCCTACCACCGCACTTCTCTTCTGATTTAAAAAAAAAAAAAAAAGGATCATACTTTCATTTTTTATTCGACACATTTTGTTACCATGGAACAAGTGCCTAAATTCTAACTATAATTAACTACGCAAAGAACCTTAGTGTCGACCATTCATTGCGTTAAATGTTCGCGTTTATAAATAGTTTTATGCAGTAGTGAGGGCTTTCTTTCTCTTTAAATAGCATTTCAGATTTGAATTTTGTGAAGAAAAAGAAAGAGTTGAGAGAGTTATACTTCTTTAAGTGAGTTGGTTATTTTTGACTCATACTATAGTGGGATTTAAAGTGACTCTCCGAAAGCAAAAAACCTAACACAAATGATTGATTAATTATGAATTTCATCACATTCAAAGTATGTTTATGATATAATATTAAACATTTTTAATACATTAATATATTTTTATCATAAAAGAATAATTTTAAAAATTAAAAATGTATTTATCCAACTGATATTTCGTATATTCCCAGCATCGACAACGAAATTTAAATTATTAATAACGGAGACATTGGTTATTATATTTTTATTGAAAAAGAAAGTATGAAAGTATTCATAATTTTCAACGTCAATATTTGTTATCATCTCTCTAATTTATTTTAAAAACAAGTGGAAATAATTGTGTTACATGAACACATACATGACATGCACGTCCAATTAAATTGCAGGTATGAACGAATTGGGGTTTTTTCTTCGTAATTATTAATTAAGTAGTTAGCTAGGGTAACAGGTGGGT